CGTGTAAGATGCAACATTTAGATATAATGCAATATATTTATTCCTAATTTCATCATAACATAAAGGCTGCACCTACAGAAAAAGCAATTGAGTAACATGAGTAACAGAGTAAAATTAATCATGTTAATAATTAACTTTTAAGAGAACGAGATCAATGCTTCCATAAAATAGAGCAAGACACCCTGGCTCTGTAGTTATTCATCATCAGTCATAGCAGCTCAAAATGGATATAAAACACCCTCACAACACAACTTTCCCTTCTGTCTTTGTGTCAAGGTAACACTGACTCAACGTCAAGGAGAATCAGCCTCAAAATCTTCTAGGGTTGATGATTAAGGGTAGAAGGGGATTTCCCCAACTTCGTTATTTCTAAATGCAAAGATCTGTTCACTTGTTTATTTTATTTGCATTTGCATCTGATCTTTCAATCAGTGGCCATGCTAATGAGACAGCTCTGAGAGCCTGCAAGTGAGAAATCCATTTACCAGACCTCTTTCTTACTTAGCTTAAAGACTTCTTTAAAAAACACTACATGTGCGTTTCTAAAAGGACTAGCTTGGATAGAGCCCTCTTGGCCTGGGTGTTTCCCGTAGGAGAAGAATTCTGACTCTTGCTGTGGGAGAAACTCCTACTTGTCCTGCCCCAAGGGCGAAAGACACTGCCAGGGGATTACAGCAATAAACCCCCAGGTCCCTGTCAACTCCAACCATCCCCATGACTTATTAGTCCCTCAGGACTCCAGAGACTCCAGGGAGACTGAGAAGCTGGCAGAGCACACGGCATTACTCTGCAGCCCCTGGGAAGGCAGGCTGGGCACAGTCCAGCTGCTGCTGGGTGGGCACAGAACAGAGGGAAACAGGTTTCATGCCCAAAATCCATCAGGGCACAGGCTGAGCTCCCAGCACAGCCCCAGGCAATCCAAACAAAAAAAGGGAGGAAACACTCTGAGCTGTTCTCACTGTGGTGGAGCGGGTGGGCCTGACCACTGCCTCATTATCATGGCAGTCCATGAGGAAAAACACCTTTTCTACCCTCATGGGACCTCACTGCCACCTGCTCTCCTCCACTTTGTGCCTGGGCACTCAGTTACCCACTGGCAGTCTTTGCATCACACCTTTCACGGCACTCTGACGACGGCAATGCCTGACATTTTCTACAAGGATATTTTTTCGTACATTTTTTTTCATTTTCTCTACTCTTTGCAAACTATTCATTCCATTCATTCCCATCACAACCCATTCCTGAAGACAAAAACTACGTTAATTTTGTTTTAAAGGGTTAAGTTGACCCTTTATCTGAGTAGACATCTACCATGCCCACATCATATATGGCAGCAAGGTCAGGCTTAATATTTGGGAACTAAAGGCAAATCAGACTGAACACAAGCAAATTAAATCTCTCTGCACACACACACACAGAAAAAAGGCAACCATGTAAGTAGAATCTCAGGTAGGATCTGTGTCCCTGCTGCCATTCAGCCTCAGTGTGAGTAGGATTTTTTCACTTCTCCCAAGGATTTGTAAATTCTCCCACCCTGTCTTAAATGAACAGGAAGAAGCAGCACACATAACAACTGAAGGAAACTCTGAGCAAAACTATCTGTAACCACTTAAGATTCAAATATGCCAGAAGTTCCTAAGTCATCTGATCCTAATTTCTGAAGAATTTAAATAGGACTTGTGCTGTGCTATATGCCAGAAACTATAAATACAGTGCTTTCTCTTATCAATCTCTCCTCTCACTTGAGGCAGCTTGATAGCATTAACTCAATATCAGCTCTGTTCCTCCTGCCTTCCATGGAACCTGTGAGACTTCTCCGTGATTTATGCCCAAAGCCAGAGGTGAAACTGCTGGATTAGAAGATCACACTGCACGGGAACGAGGAGCCAGCCCACACAGGCTTCACATGAAGAAATTACAGAAAAAGGCAAACACGGGAGAGAACTCGGAGCAGGGCTAAATTAGCGAATGGCAAAGCTCACTGGGAGGGAAGGCCGCGTGCCGGACGCGTTTACAGCGCTCACGCCAGCGGGTCAGGAGCTCCACTGATGTGCTCCTGTGGAGGCAGCAGCTGGGACTCCCCTGCCACACGGCCAGCATTAGCCTGAAGACAGGAATTTCAGATAATGTAGCAAGGAAAGAGAACCTAGAGCTATAAAAGCAGTCTGAAGGGCAAAACAGGTGACTGCTGGAGCTGGCGATTTGTCTTTAGGGAAAGTTGCACAGTTCTGAGTTGGAATTCAGAAATGAATTCAGAGATTTTCCTTCAAAACTAAAATCCAGAAGTCCACTGATTTAGGAAATTTAAATATTCTGGAATCCACAGAGCACTCTGCATGCCATGAAGGTACAGGTGGTTAACTGTGACGTCAGGTACCACACGGATCAGCAGGGGGTGGGTACGCAGAGGAAAGATGAGTCAGCAAACCACACTTAAGAGTTGATCAGACCCTCAAGCTCCCTTAAGACACAGGATGCCCCTAAATACAGTTTAATAGTAACAGGATTAAAAATTAATTACTTTTCAGTCATACCAACAAAAAAGGGGGATATTTTGGTTTTAAGAATGTCAGTATTTTCTCCCTATTTTAAGAACAGAATTTCAGCTAAAAACGTGTTACAGAATTCCAGTTCTACTGAATGGTGAACTACTCAAATTTGGGTTTTGACAGGGATACTAAGTAGAAAGAATTAACTTTTCTCTTCTCAGATAAAATTCACAAAATTCAATATAAACAAGTGGTGTATTATCCAACAATTAGCCAGATAAAATAAGTTGCAATGGAGCATTATATTATGACATTATGAAAAAATCACAAGCAAATATTTTTAGCTATAGGAAACTGCACCTATACTATCTTTGGGCTAGAACAGATCTTTGGGCTTCAGATGTCGAACCAAAACACAGTATTTTTTTCACTCACAAAAAATGTTAAAATAAATTAATGTTCATAGCCTCGACTATTCTTTAGTTTCCTTTCAGCTTACTTAACCCTTCTGGAAACCTTTTATAGTTTAGGTCGTTTTTCATATAAAAATAATTTCAAAGAAAGACGTTACATTTGATCCTTTGATAACACCAAAGCAAAGCATTGTGTTTTTACCTGCAGGAGAGACTGACACCTGACAAAAATTCACTAAGGCAGACTCATACATTAAAAACCCCACAACTACTGTCACAAAGACTTTGGCTTTCAGTAATTGCTGTGACCAGAGGAACAGCTGACATGACAATCTAGTTGTCAAGACTTCCAGCCCAAACTCTACACATCAGAGATTTTTAAATACATCTAAGTCAAACAGGCCAAGATTTACTAGATCCACTAATCTGCTGCTTTTTGGAACATATCCCTCTGTCATTTATTTATTTAAGACCACTGTCACTCTCTCCAGACCCAGTCTACTAAGGTATTCATGAGAACATCTCTGTGATTCTGCTACTTAATGAGCCTTGTCTATTAATTTACTGAAAATTCTCAGTCAATTCCTTTCTTGTTTGTTTACTTAAAGGCAAAACTTACAAGTTAACCTCTCTTTTCCATTTCATTTGATATTTCTTTATCATAAAACACTCCGACCAAAATCCTATTTGCCATGCCAAGTGTAATTCAGAAATTATGTGACCTGGAAAACCCAGATGAAGAAATTCAGAGACATTTCACTCTGCTTGGCTAAAAAAAAAAAAAAAAGACAATGGGTTCACAGAAATATAACTCAGACCCAGAAATGTTTGGATCCCCACAGGGCAGGAAAAAAGAGCTAAGCATTGGGAATATTTTCCAAGTCCAATATGGTAGCAGGAAGCCCCGCTGCTGTCAATTCTGCATCCCCATCTGGTGTCCTGTAATGGTTTTAATGAAAGCTCTTACACATGGTTCTTAAAATAACCCATCTGTCTACTGGGGTGAATTAAAAGATGTAAACGCAGTGTAATATGCCAAAGAATATAAGAGTCTCAATATAAGATCCGACTGTGTCAACCAGCAACAGGTTCCAGCTGGGGTAGCCTCATGGAACAAAGACAGCCCTTGGCTGGAGCTGAGGATGCGCTTCTGAAGTCCCAAGGCAGGCTCCCAGGGAGAAATAACGCTCCAGACCTGGAGCAGATGTGCAGAACCCGGCATAGCACGCTCGCTGCCCACGTGGGCAGCGCCGCCCGCAGCAGCATCTGTTTGGGATGGCTGGCACGGGGGATGGACTGCACGCTCCCAGGTAATGCCTGAGCACAGCTCAGCCTTTGACCTGCCTCTGCCCTCTCTGCTCTTGCTGCCCACAGCTTGGATTAGCTCATGTGCTGTTTTACACAACCAGGGACAGAGAGGCAGCAGCTCAGCTCTGAACTCTGCAGCTGAGGCTGGATTTCCACAAGCGCTCCACTACAACACTAATGGTCAGGGCTGTGAGGTCCACAGAAACACAGCAGTACTCCTCTTCCACATAACTTAACAATCTCTTCCCACTAAATTAGATAAAGAGTTGTGAATGAGTTAAATCTACAGATTAATGCTGATTGCTCTGGGGTCCACAAGGAGTATTTATCACAGAACAGCACAGGTTGTCAGGAAAGGAGGGTAAAGACAGACATTCCTCGTGACCGATCACCTGTAGTCCCAGTGATTGTTCCTCTCCTAATCAGACCACCTAGACCACCACATGCTGACATGCACATTCTCCAAGACTTCTGTTTCACGGGAAAAACCTGGGATTATCCCAACGTTCAGAGCCTCCAGCTCCCTGTAAAGATGAGGTGCACTCTCCGCATCATATGAGCTTACAGTGATCACACTATGCGCAAACTCGCGTGAGAAGTGGGCTAGATAACACCCCACCCTTTTGGGTTGGTTGGTTTGTTTGTTTCTGGGAGAAAACCCTTTCTTTTCATTCTGTTTTCTTAGAGTGTTTATCACAGAAAATTCCTGATCCGTGACTAAAGCTCGCGGGTGTTAACACAACACAAACGATGTAACATCCCCCAGACCTGAATTAATTCACAGACTTACCAGAGGCTGTCTTGCAATGATTTTCTCTTGAAGGTTGATCAAGATGACAGAACTCTTGGAGATGATAACTGCTATCTTTCCATTCCAGCCTTGATGGTCTGATAAAGACTATAGAACTGCAACCATCAAATTTCTCATCCCTGAATTCCCCCTGAGCATTCTCCTGAGATCACCTGGAACAGATAAACAGAGATGTGAAGAGGATGCAATGGAACTGTTCCAGAACTTATATTGATATTATTTGGCTTTAAGTTTATGCTAATATCAATTAAGCAAGGTTTATTAATACTTGCTGTCATTTCTTAGAGTTGCCTTACAAAGCAATCTATAATAGAACTTTGCACTTTGCACTTATGAAGAAAACAAATTACTTTCCACACTCGTGCCCTTTACAGTGTGGCAAGAGAGGCAGCCTTTACAGGGGGATTATCAGGAAAACTGGAGAATCGAGGAAAACGTTGCATGTTCCTGTTCATAGGAAGGGCCATCTCCCACAGACTCGTCACATTATCCTCAAAAACACTGATCAGAAATTCCACGGAGTCTCAGCTGTGTATTTTCAACCAGCCCTCCTAAATCCACATGGGGTAGCTACAGAAGGGGCTTGTAACCAAGCTGTACAGCAGCAAAGTTCAAGAGCCACTGCTAACTTTTTCCTTTTGCTTGTCCACAGAAAGTGTGCCAAACTATCCCAATTTATCATCATTCCAAAAAGTACTTCTCTGCCTAAAACTGCAGGACCAGCATCCTTACAACATTATTCTTGGAATGCTGTTATCGTCAAACCCTGCTATCAAACAGCTTCTGCCTCCCCCTTCTTCAGACATCCCAATTTACCTTCTTTTAAGTTTCCCAAAGAACTATTTTGATCCCGGGCCTCGGGTTCGATTCCCGGTCAGGGCCACTCCCGGGCAGATGGAGCTCGTTAGCCCTTAAAAAGGCAACCCATCTACGTCCTAAGGACCTCGCTGCCACCGTCCAAGCTCGCTTGGCCCCGGCAGATGAACCTTAGGATTAAAGGGTGGGCTCAGTTCCGCGCACACTGTGTCTCACCTAAAAAATCCAATGTGCAGGCTGGAAGGTGTAAAGACCTTCCCTGGATCTTCGCTTGCGAAGACTGGCCATTATTTTATTTTGATCCAATGGGGTCTGTGAGGAATGATACAGTATCAGAGCAGTAGAGATAATTCACAGAATTACAGAATGGTTTGGGTTGGAGGGGATGTCAAAGACCATCCAGTTCCAAGCCCCCTGCCACAGGCAGAGACACCTTTCTCTAGACCAGGGTGCTCAAAGCCCCCTCCAACCTGGCCTTGAGAGCAGGTTAAGAACCCATCCCACATTGATCTTACTGGAAGTTTTCTTTTGAAGAATGGTTATTGTTTCCTAGGTACTTAAACTGAGCACTGATATGACTGATGATTCACAGCAAGACAAAAATTATACAACCAAAGTATTTAACATTTCTGTAACTCCCATAATCTTAGTGTGAGCACCTCCAAATTCCTGGCCCACTGTTCTGCTGACATCCTCACCTAATACTAAACACTGACATGAAAAAGATGAGTAGCTTTCCCACAAGATGCCACAGATTCTGGAGCAGTGTATGGATCTCAAAATGTGTGAATGTGGAGAAATGAAAACTAGTCAAAGACTGCAGATTCCACCTTTCCTGGATATTCACACTCCTCTGCTTCCCCCAAAAGCACAGCAAGCACAAGCAAACCTGGTATAGTTCAGGGGTAGGTAGTTCAAGCTTTTACAGCTCTGCCTCTAAGAGGTGCTTGCTAACAGAAATGTAATCTCAGCTAAAGCATTTTCACACACTGTTTGTCAGGCATGGCTGTAATGTTTCGCTGCTATTGTGCCTTTTGTGCACAGGACGTGCAGCAAGCACCAGGACCGTGTTCCAGCTTCACCTGGAATCAGCCTTCCTGAGCTCATCTTAACTGTGTCCTCGTGACTCCGCACTAACTTCAAAGAGCCCTTCGAAGACCACACAGCTCTCACTGCAAACAAGCCGGCAGGACAAGCACAACCCCTACCAACAATGTCATAGAGGCAAGACCACACAGAAGGCTCCTGCAGGGCCCTTTGGGCTCGAAGATGTAGGGGGTCTGAAGGACCTGCCGCCGAGAGCGACGCGCGGCAGCTCCAAGAATCCCCGGCGCGGGGATGCGGTGAGCGCCGTGCCCACGTGGAAGGGTGTAGAGCTGCAGATGAGCTCTGTGATCAGATAGCCACGCTGGGGTCTGCCCCAGCTTGCAGCAGGCCCTCCTCAAAGCTGAACAGAGCCAACAGACAGTTCACACCCCAGAGCCTGACAGGTTGCCAGGTAAGGCGGTCTCGTAGCCACTGGGAACGTCTTGGGTCCTGGGTGCTGCTCCACAGCCGGTTGGGGGGGTTCAACCCCAGACATTCCCTGAGGCAAGAAAGAATCACCGCTTGGATGAGTGAAAGTAACAGGACATGCAAGCCATCATGATGCCCATCTTTGCAGGATGCTGAAGGTGCATCCACAAGTGCATGAGGAAGGAAAAAGCTCTGGTTTAAAAGCCATGGTGTTCTCAGGTCACTGAGTAGTGGAGTTGTGAACAGCTGAACTACAAAGCTTCATTAACAAATACTTGTGGGCTCACGTTAAAAACTGATGGAAAGGGAGAGCATCCACAGAGGGGCTTTGTGGCTGTGGTATCTGCACAGATTTTTGCACACTGTCCTTTGCAGGCCTTGCCTCTGGTCCTTCAGGACAACAAACACAACTTGCTGCAGCAGCTGAGGCTCCAGGTTTGGTGCTTGAAGGCAGCAGACTGAGAAGTGCTGAGGAGACTGGGCTGAATAAAGAGATAGGACAATTCATCATATTTCTCCTAACAAATTCCCCACAGGTGACTTGCAGTTGTCTTGAAATGAGTGGTCACTAATTCCATTTTTGGGATTGGTAATAGCTAAAAGTAGTTATTGTCTCAACGTTCACCACAGCCACCATGTCTGGACTGTGGTCGCTGAAATTTAGCCATAGACCTGGGATGGTTAGTTTTGGCCCAGAATAAAAGCTATAGGCACAGCTTTTTTTAAGCATGGCCTGATTCTTTGGCAAGTGAGCTTATGGTTTGAGCTAATCTTCATTTTCTCATTGCCCTGGGTTCAAAAGAAACTTTTCTTTGTTTGACACTGGCATTTGACCCAGGGTAAAAGAGGCAGTTGAGAGGGGAGAGGGAGAGTTAACATTTTTCAGAGGAAAGGCTGGAGTGGTGGGATAACCCTGCGGGGGAGGTCAGGAAGAAGTATTCCTTGCTCTGGCTTGGGAATCAGAGGTGCATCCTCAGACACAACAATGCCCTGCAGAAAATGCAGTTCTGGATCAGCTGTATGCTTTGTTCCCTTGTATCTCCCATACCATGACACAATCTTTTCTTGCTGTCTACTCATTTCCCCTTCCCTTTTCCCAGACCACAGAAGATACCAATATTTTCACTTTTTGTCATAATTTGATATACCCTTATTACACAAACCACTGACATTTGGTGATGTTACAGGTTGTCCCTGCCCATGGCAGTGGGGTTGGAACTAGATGATCTTTAAGGTCCCTTCCAACCCAAGATGGTTCTATGATTCACCTGCTCCAATATTTCCTGGTAAGGAATCCAAAATAAATCACAACTGTTGCTAAAGCAAATTTCTCTGAAAATGTAGGGTTTTTAAGTTGCAGTATTTATGGAGAATGCATTCATCTCTAGATTAGAGCCAGCTATCCCCAGAAGGACAAGGAGTCATACTCATCCCCTCTACAAGGAATAAGCCTTCAGCTTTGCAGGACTGCAGAGCACAGAAAATAAAACAGGAACCCCCCTGAACCTTCCACAGTGTGAGCTGCAGTTTGCATTTGAGTCCATTGCCACTGAATTTCCTCCTCTGCACAGAAGCCAAACAGGGCAGCCCCTGAGTGAGGTCCCTGCCAAGACTGATTAAAAACTCACTCTCTGCACCTGCCTATTCATTTTACTGCTCTGCACCTGCAGACTGGTTTCAAGAGCCTCATTATTGCTCACTTGTCTCTGACCTCCTTCTGACAAACTTCCCAGACAAAATGCCACATTTCCTTTCTAATGGCCATCACAACAGTTCCAGCCCTGAGCAGACACTAATAACGTCTCAGTTTTTTCCTTCCTGCTCACCAAATATGTAAAAATGAACAGTGATACACCAGGCTGAGAGGGGAGTGGATGCAATTTCTAGAAAGGGAAATATGTTTTAAAAAATCAAATCAAATGTGGTAAAAGATACAAAAGCTGAAAAAAAAAAAAAAAAAAAAGGAAAACAAAAAAGGAAAAAAACCCAAGGAGGGTATAACAAGACAGTGAGTGACCTTTTCAAGTTGCCAGAGTTTCTATCTAGAAATTTATGAATTCTGCAGCTGGAGAAGCCTCCTCTGCAGCTTCACACAGCCCTGGTACTGTCTCTGAGTCCCTAACTTCTGTTCTGGGTGAGAGGTGGATGGACCCAGCCCTGACTCGCCTCGTTGCTGGTGGTGCTGCCACAGGCCAGACTGATACCCTTGCTCAAGCCAGTCTCGGGACAAACTGCTGGAACTCCAGGCTTTCTTTTTAATGGGGAAATCAAACACTGATGGGTTTGTTTCGTCAGGGCAGGTTTTTCTTTAATCCTCCAGCCAGAGGACACTCCAAGAGGATACTGTATACGATGTGCACTTCCAAAGCGCACCAAGGAGCAAATCTTACCAAATTCCTGCTGGTTATCCAGCCTGAGGGTATCAAACCGTCTCCAGCAGAGAGCCAGCTGTGCCATACAAAGGGAGGATTTATTTAGGCATGTTGGTCCAGACAGATGTGACGGGTTCTGATCCAGCCAGCAAAAGCTCTGGTCTCATTAGTTCAAGCTCCTGTTGTTATAAACCAGGACCAAAATGGGAGAGGAAAAACGCAGATCTTGGATCTGTCCCATCAAAGAGAGAACAAAGTTTACCCAGTGAGTCACAAGTCACAAACCGAAGCGTACATTAATCTTCACCCTGACACATTTCTTCCATCCATCAGATCGAGCATTGTGCTGGTCTAACAGTGAGGATACATCATGTCATTCATGACACATGATGACTCCCAGATGTTCAGAGAGCTCTGCTACCCAGTGGAACAAATGGG